CCCCCCCCCCCCCCCCCTCCCCAATCCTCTCTGCCATATGAATGGGGACCTTTTCCAAATACAGCTGGGTGGAAACTCTGTGATGGACCAAGTCCTAACATGTACTGAACAGGTTTAAATGCTTGGTTTCACCTTTCAGCTTGAAGAAACATCAGCTGTAATCAGTGACAAAAAGCTCTTTGTTAAAGCTGAGTTCTCTCCAGCTGCCATTGAGGAATTTAAAAGGTAAGTGGCAATAAATGTTTTCTGCTTAATACATGTATGTTGAAGGCCAATGCAGTAATGAAAAAAATAAAATTCACACTGACCCCAAACATACAGGCATGCTTGAAATTCTTGCAGGAAGATCAAGGACCATGGAAACCTTGTCACATCGGCTGATCTGGACTAAAAAATCATTCCTTGGGAGTCACTTGAAACCATAACTCATTTTTTAATAATAATGTGTGGAAGTTCTCTAAATGTTATTTGTATTCTTCTTATTCTTCTGCTTACAGTCAGGCTCCTAATTAGACACATTTGAAACATGATGCAAGCTATGACTATAATTATGACTTCATACCTGTTTTTATATTTGCTGCAGAGATAATACAAGTCTTCAGCTTAATGACATCCTAGGTGGGCTGATTTTTATCAAAAAATACTCAGTGCGTGCCACTGAGGAAAACGAGTTGGTAAGTTGTAATTTTTTTATGCATTTCCAAGAGTGCCTCAGGTCATGGCATCATTTGGTGCTTTCCATTTGATGAGATATTTTGAATAAACAGCATTTTCCAGAATTTCCAGAAAAGAGGACAACCTTGCAAAGTACATGTATACCAAACTTTTTCAGAAATTTCTTACAGGGAATTTTTGTACCATTTGATTTTCCTCCACCTGCAATTTCCAGGGTTTTTGGTGGAACTGATCTCTTTTTGGAAATTGAACAATCTAAGGATTTCATTTCTGGAAACTTTACCAGGACATTTCCATACCATCTGTCCCCATTTTAGTGTTTTTTCAGAATTTTTGGTTGAATGGAAAGCAACCTATGTGTACATGTATGTACGTACAGCTGTAACTGAGCTGGGCTAAAATATAAAAGATGTAAATTGCATTTATTTAGAAAACGCCCTGCGAGAAAGCAAACACTAAAACCTGTAGTTCTATATAACTCAGTAGAAAAAAAACTAGTGCGAGCTGTTGATATGACAATGGCATAAACAGAGAGAATAACCTTTTGATTGTTAAAAAAAAAAAATGATTTTCCTTCCTTTTTTTCTTGGAGTGTTTTATAAAAATAAAAAAAAAATTTACTAGCATCCTATTTAAAACATGCACCACACTTGCCTATGTTGCTGCATGCAGAACGTTTTTATAATACGTTTATTTAATCAGTGGCACAGCCATTTGCAGTATGCAATCACCAGTTTCTTACCCTATGTCCCTTCTGAGCCTGCTCCTTTCTTTCCACAATGTGCATCTTGGGCAAGGTCCCATGGCCAAAATGATTGCCTGAATGCTCAGAATAATTTGATTTGCCTACAGTGTGCAGTTCAAATGGCACAGGCTTTATTAGAGTTGTCACCTTGGTTCTCACGTGTATTTTATTGTGTAAACGTTACAAAATTTAACTTCACATCCACTTCTTTATTTGCTGATCAGGATCATGCTGAGTTTTTAATCAGCATTGAAGAGTTCAAGTTTGCTGGAGGGGAGGGCAACACACAGTTTGGTAGTGATGTCACAGATAGTTCAGCCTGTCCCCAGTTTAAGGCCAGACTACAGCAACTGTGGAGAGCCGGACAACTCAGGAAACAACTTGTGGGAGGTAATAGTGAACATTCTCCCCCCACCTGCCCATGTTTTGTTTTACTTTGTTTTTCATTTGTTTGTTTATTTAAAATTTTTGCTGGAGCCTGCATGACCAAGTTTTTTAGGGCACTAGATTTGAAATCTAGAGTCCATGGTTCAAAACGTCTGCCCAGCTACTAAGCTAAGCTGGATTTGTTTTTTTCCAGGTGTTAAGTTCAACTCTGTGGCTATGCTTTGTAACCTAGGAAGTGAATAACTAGCTTGGCTTCTTTGAAGAACTTTTTGTTCTGTTTGTAATATTTATTTGTTGCTGATAGTTAACAGTGCGTTCAATAAGCATGCAGTGGTACTGATTCAGGGTTTTAGCCAGATGGGTGTCCAGGCATCCTGAGGATGGCCACTTTCTATAGAAAATTATTTATTTTTCATATGCTGCCTTTGAGCAGGCCCTATTATAGCACATATTGGACGTCCACTCTTCAAATTCTGGCTAAAAGCCTGTACTGATTAATAACATTATGTACAACATAATTTAATTTCAATGTTACTGAAGATACTGCAGGCTTTATTGCAATCAGTAATAGAGAATTTTTGGAAAAATTAAGCTGATCTGGTTTCATCTTTCCAAATTTTTTGGTGGCTTAATTAATATTATGTCCTCCTTCATCAGAAATTTAAAAAGGTAAGGTTTGTTATTGTGCATGCTACATGTACAGGACTGTGTGTTCATGTACTCCACTTTGGACAGTGATGTTGTTAACGCCGAGAGAAAGTATTACCTCAAACTTCCTTGTCCTCAAACTCCAAATTAAAAAGGACAACAATGCACAGGCCCGCTGTGATCAGCTCAACAAAAATAGTTTCAGAAAATGAGTCTTTTGTTGATTTTTTCCCTTTCTTTTTGTCAACAAGGAGAGGCCAATGTTCCAGATGGTAAAGAAGCAGAAAGCTTGATGCTTCATAATCATAATCAGATTTTCATCCCAGATGACATGGAAAGGAAACTGGCTGAAATTCCAGGTGAGTGAAATCCTTTTGGCTCTGTCATATAGTGTCTTTAAGTATGTACAGCAGTCTATTGACTGATGTAGTTTAGCCCTCAACTGCATAATTACATGTACAAAAAAGAAAACAAATAGTCAATATTGAAAACTAAATTAATTATACAGACTTCGTCACAATGGTATGTTTCACATGATCTACATTGTGTACATTAAATGGTTCGTTTAGATGACAGTTTAACGAAGGTAAGCATCCTAGAGGCAGACCCTCTGTTAGTGCTGGGAGTCACAGGAAAGAACAGAGGTTTTTTCTGCTTCCCTTCCCATAACTTCCAATTTGCCCAATGCTAAAATCTCTTGGTGGCACTATGCTTATGTGAGGCTTGTGATTTTCGAAACATGTCAAAATCGGAGTCGGAGCCAAATGATAGTTGTTTTGCTACTTTTACTAGTTGCTGTATCTGGTTGTGATTTTGTTTTGCTGTGTTGTGTTGTGTTGCATTTTGTATTTGTGTTGTATAAAGAAGGTTAAAAATAAGGCAGCCTTTAGTTGTGTTTTTTAGTTGTGTTTTTTAGTTGTGTTTTTTAGTTGTGTTT